GAGTCAGTCCAGTAGTAATGGGCGGGGCCACTGATCTCTAGGCGGGGCTTAGAGCGGGTTGTGACCTCCACCTAAATTGCGTCTAACGGCGTAAATATTACACGCAAACTTCTTTTTTGCTTGGAAAAATCGTGAAAAAAATAAATTTCCCATCTATGCCCTTTAAAAAAAAGTTATCTTTTTTTGCCGTGTTTTTTTAAGGGCGTTTTCACACAGTTGCGCGAGCCCGACCGAGCGCGACTGCAGCGGCTTGCGGCGCTAATCCTTTTACGGGTTGCTATGGCGGCACGTAAAAAGATTAAGGTGGCAAGCCATTGCAGTCGCACTTGGTCGAACTCAAGGAATTGTGTGAACCAGCCTTCACTTCACAGTTTTTTTTTTTTTTCCGAATGTGCGACTCGATCAGTCCGCTGCCGTCCATCGCCAGGGGAAAATGGTAGCTGCCAGTAACCCTCTTGCGGAACGATATACGCTACCTCGAGTGTGTCGCGTGCTCAGCGCACGCCGGATGGTTTCTTTTATGATTCACCGGCTCGATTTCTGCCAACGCCGCGCTATACGACCGGGCAACTAAATCCCCCTCCGTCCGTGTTTCATTACGGTTCCGTTTACTGCCACGAGGAGTCGTTTCAACACCGAAGGCTCGACGATAAAACGAATGAAACGGCACACATGCCAAGCGTTTGCCGATTGTATGCCCAGATGCCAGGCGCGGATCAACGGCGCACGACGCGATTAAGGCGGTTCCAGGGGTTTATTATTCCGCTAGGGCGGCGCTGTTTTTTTACAGCTGAGCGAATATGTGTCTGCAGTGCTGCACGCACGACCGCGTTGTTTTGGCGGCACACTGAACTCGCGGTGTGGTGTGTCAAACAGACAACTGTACTGGAGAGGGAATGATTATGTAATGCGGGATGCAAATAATGACCCCCCCCCTTCCCCATCAACGAGGGCTACAAAACTATGTATAATATTAGTACGCTTATTCCAGTCGTTCTCGGAAGGAAAAAGAAATCTTAAAGGAGCAATGAAACAATTTTTCTACTTTCGCTTAACACTACTTAGAATCGCTCCCTGACGTTAATAACCAAAACAAACTTGCCTTGGATTATCTTCCTAGGCAATGGCAGTCGCCAATAACATAATTCAATAAATATGAGCATCGTTCATCCCCTCAACTCGGAGACAGAACATGCGACCACTTGGCCTGGTGCCTATCCTATGCCGCCGACGTTAATCATAGCAACGCGCTGGGGTCGGCAAAGATAGAGAACGCGTGCTGAGCCCCAGGCATTGTTAGAGTTCGGTTATTCTCATCACCGCAGTGGTTGGACACGAGCCTCTACTTGAGTGTCCGCAAGGGAATTGACTGTTACGAGCCGAAGTCAAGTGCTCACGCAGTTCTTGTGTCCGATCCATGAGCCGCGTTCGACTGTCGTCAGGCGGGTGGTTTTGGTCCCACAATTACGTCATCGAGCTTTGCGACGACAAGACTAAAAAAAAGTAGTTCCCTCTTATCCTCGCAATTTCGCAGCGACAAAGAAGCTTTCGAATCAGTGGTGGTCTGTGCGAGTATACTTGGGCTGAGTAGATAACAATACGCCTTTGCAAAGCCATGAACATTCCAACCCGTTATTGTTTCATGACCCATTTAATACAGTTGCAGACTCTTTTCGGAAGATATCACTGACGGACATCGTTTCCTGCGCCAAGGATGTGATCGGATCTGACCTCATGCCGAGTGCTGACGCTCCACTCGTCTCCAATATAAATTGGTACCCGAGTACGCGCGGAACGATGACGCGGCACTTGCATCCAGTGCATGCTCAAAGTGAGTGCCTCAACTATGACGGCCTCGGAACAGCCACTGAAGCATGCTATATAAATGCAAAGACCTGTTTGCAAGTGAGCATCACATGGCAGACGATAAGTAGCTGACTACACGTGAGCAGCGCAACATGAGCACTTCGCTGCACGTGAGAATCGGCGTCTATACTCGCGGACGACTTTCTGTGACCCTTGGGACAAAGTGAAGAATGCGCTTTCACAGCTCTGCTCGGCGCTCAAGGCGGGCGAGTGCCCGTGAGCTCCAACCATAGAGTAATATACACAAGGCAAAGAGCGGACACTGCCATAGGCCCCAGCGGCCCAGATAGAGCAGTGACAACTAGCGCTCTTAGCGGACGGTATGAAACACAATCTGGTTCCGGTTCCGGTCAAGTTAGTTTCGGTTTCGGTTTGGGCATTTTTGTTTCGGTTTTTTGGTACCCTTCTCCTTCTCTTTTTCTCTCTTTCTTTCCTTCTCGCCTCCCTCCTCGCTAGGCTCTCGGGAGCTCCTTGGCTCCGGAGCCGATGATTCTTTTTTTTGTTGTTGTTTTTATGTTACAAGTTTTGCAATATACGATATACGTTTTGCAAAATGTGTAATGTGTCGAATAAAAGTTCAACTTATTGAACACATTGAAGTACATAATCGCCACATTGACTCCTGGCTGGTGGAGCATTTTGGGAGGTTTTGGGGTCAACAACAGTAAGTGGTTTGAAAACATTTTATTGGACCACATTCATATGTACATTATTTACTTCAGAAGCTCTGTATATGTTTTATAAGAAATAGATAATCACAAAAATAAATGAGTATGAAGGAGTTCGGCATATCGTACACTTCGTAATAGATTTTTAGCGGAGTCAAGTTTACAAAAGCTTTCCACAGGGAACATGCTGAATGATCCATTCACCTTCACGCCGACTCGGGCACGGTAAGTAAGTGCAGAAATAAACAAGACATCGCTATCATTACCAGGCGAAGCACACACCGGATAGTACAAATTCCAAATTACCGGCTAATATAAAACACACGAAATGGCATAGCCTGAAACTCGCTGCGGGTGAGCCATTACAAAAAAAAAACAAAAAAACAATGAGAACTCTATTCGGAATCTGACAAGATTCAACCGTAGATATTCAACCATGATTCAACGTCCCTAAACATTCCCCGAAATACATTTGTTCAGGACAGGAGTATTACTTCAGAAAAAAAAAACGTCCAAAAAATATAGACGGGTACAGAAGTGGACACATTTTCTTCCAAACATCTATGCCTCTATAAACTATTTTCTATAGAAATTCTGCAGAAAGTGGATAAATATTTGTGTAAGGGGGCCGTGATACACATTTCCTGGAAATAAAGAAAACACATGTTTGGAGTGCAAGCTACACTGCCCAATTAATAAGCAATTTCTGTTTTTGATTTGGCAACCGCCTCTGTTAATACGCTATTAAGCTATTAACAGTTAAACTTATCAAGTTGCTTACTAGCAACCGAAGAGTGTAACCGAACTTTGTCCAAGTTCCGGTTAAGGAACCGAACATGCCAACACAAGCGTATTCGGCAAAACATTTTTAAAAACCTTTTGTGACACTCCTCTGAGCAAAGGCTGAAACCACCCAGCTCTGAGAGTGTGTGATACAAGGCAGCACACACTCCTCGAACATGCGCTACACTCTCTATTACGGCAAGAAAGTGATTTTCTAGTTTCTGAATAAAGTTAAAGGCAGCCTGTGATGGTACTACTAGGTTTCCAAAGAGTTTCCCAGGCACGTGGTATGCTTTAAGCATAAGAAAATACTGGTGAGGCCTGGTCAAGTTGTCAGACTCATCCTTTAGCAGCTTAGAACAGCCACAGCTGCGGGTTGTCTGTTCAAGGAAAAGTTTGATCAAATAGCCTCCAACGTAGTAAGTGCACGAGTCGTCAATTATATTAGACCTGATGTCTGATGCCAGCTCAGAAATATCTTCTAGTGGCGGGAAGTTATCAACTGGAAAACATTCCACATTGTCTGCAATGGAACTTTCATGGTGCGAAAATATTGGCAACTCCTTGAGGAGGTCAGCCTTTTCATTCTCTACATTTCCATTGTTAGAGAGTCTGAACAGTTTTTTTATCCCGATGTGTTTCAGTCCCGAGGTGAACTGATTCACATTTGGGTTTGTATTGCAGCCCAGCATTTGTCTTATTGCCCCAAAAATGTTCTCCAGTGGGTCTTGCTGCAGGCGTCGAGTAAGTAAGAATTTAAAGTCATAGCTGTTTGAAAGCTCATCCCAGAGCATGAGGACACTCCTTATTGTAACTTGCCACCCTATGGTGGTTTCTGGCTGCCTCCTACTTTGGAACTTCCATGTTGAAATCCATGCGAGTTGTTGGTGAAGGAAATCGAGTATCTCAGATTCTCCTTTCAAAATTGCATGACGCAACTTCTGCCCCGTCTTCTTGAATTGCGAGCTATTTAAACAATCAAAAAGTCTGTCCATTCTATCACAAAAATAGGCTGTAGCCATGGCTGCCTCAGGAAGCTCCTTGGCATAAACAAGGGATAGAATGGCAAGACAGACTGAGGCACTCAGGACCTGTGTGGCACGCTTTACTTTCATGTTACTGAAAGGTTTTTGAAAAATGTGCCTCTCAGTAAGTTTTGGAGCCAATCGCAACCTGATCTCATGAGTAGAACGATAAAGTTCAACAATATGGGACCATTCAATGACCTCATCCCCAATGCAAAGTTTGTGGGCTTGGAGATTGTTTCTTGTTGTTTTGATGAGGTGCGGAACATCAAAGATAAAGTAAACACGTTCGTTGTCGACTTCAAAAAATGGCTTATCAGCAGATACACCAAGTTGGTTGGCTAAGCTTACGTTTGAAGCCCCCTGATCACAGACCACGGCCTTCACAGTGAAGTCAACAGTCTTAAGCTCTCGAATGAGAGAAATCAGGAGGCTCTGGATAACAGAAGACGGTGTTGAAGTGTGCCCAACAGTGTATGCGAGGGGCTGAACCCACCTCCTGGAAATTCCAGAGAGCACAACAACCAGGGCTCTATCTGCAATGGTCGAGGTTCGTTCAACACCGTCATCTGTAAATCCATGGATAATGTCGTGTGCAGGGTCGTATGTCAAGTTCTTCTTCAAAACAAGCTCATCAAAAATCAAGGTGCAGACACGATCACGTGCATTCCAAGACCGCGTTTGAGATTCGATGGAGGACATGACACCAGGTATAATACCAGGAGTCATTTTTACGTTCGACAGCCACCTACGCAGTGGACGCTGAGTGGGAAGCGTTAAATGTAACGATAGAAAACGGTATGCCTGTGGGCCATGAAAGTTCACATGCAAAGCAAACTTCTTGAGCCACAGTGGAAACCGTTTTCCTCGTCCCTTGCGCCCTAATTTTACATGTGACGAGATAAGTCCGAAAACCTCGTCTGTCACAAACGGACGCACCATTTCAAGTGCTTCGGCAGCTGTTTGAGGCATTTGCTTCTGTTGCTTGCGCAGTCTTGATATTGTCTTTCTGTAACTGGAAACCTTTGCTTGTAGGCGTTTTATGACGTCCCTGGGCCTCCTTGAGAGCTTGGCGGAAGCAGGTGTTGAACGACCAGAGCCTGCCAAAACAATACCGAAAGCACATAAGTCAGGCTACACAAAAATGATAAAAGTAGAACCCAACAGAAACGATACCGCCAAATACCGACCACTTACCCATGCTGCAATATGTGCCCCCTTCCCCCCCCCCCCCCCCCCCCCCCGCCACTTTCGAAACGTTTGCGAAATAAACAAAGCACGTATCAATGTCCAACTCCAGACTTAAAAACCCACCCACCTAACATAAATGCTCATCCGCTTCAGCTGCTTCTCCAAGCACACCAATGTAAAAGGTGAAGCTCGACACGTGCACGGGCCTCCAAAGTGGTGACCCCCCTTCCCCCCAACCTTTGGCTGTTCTGCAATTTTGCTTTCGGGCATAAGAAGCATACATCTCTGCGTTTTTCATGATTATCTCCAAATTGTGAGTGGGCATTTGCTCCGCATGTTCTGTTACCACTGTTTATACACAAATGGCTGCTATCAGAAAAAAAAAAATTAAACTAGCTTTTAGTCTTTCAGCTGCAATAATTTCACCACAAAAACTGTATTAACATAAATTGATGAATCTTTCAAATATTGAATAATCGCGTAGTCAATCACTACATTCAACAGGGTCATCCAAAATGAGAACTGTATGTAACAGGATTGGCAAATTACTACAGTAAGCACAGATTACTAGGAAACCACCCCTTTTCAGAGCATTTCACGGTGCCACACTTCAAAGCTTATGTTCCCCGTCACCTAGAGCCCTGTAGTGATGTTCCAAGTTATTAAGGCCAGCACAAAAATGAAGTGACAAATAATGTCACCTAATTTGAAGCAATGTGCATACTAAATGCAGAGGTACTTAACACAATTTTGCAGTGCTTAAATCTGTAGAGAAGTCAATTTATACTCACAGGTTCCAGATGATTCAGAATAGCCAACAGACGAAGATGGAGTGCTGTGGTCCAAAAGCTGGCCAGGAGAGCTGGCCATCCCCATTTGCTCTGAAAAATGTGTCACTGTTAAATACGAATGTTTGCATAAACCCAATTTGTGTAGGAGATTTATTTTACCACAGGCCGCTATGGAATGTGACGCGCTGGTACCCTCCAGTGAAATACCACAGGGGCTTGTCGCCATCGGTTGTTCTGAAAAACGGTTGCTTGTCAGATATGAGCAGCTGTTTTAAAAGAAATGATCTCACCATGAGCAGCTGCCGAAGGTGACGTTCCACTGCCTTCCATTCGAACATCCCCGGGGCTTGGTTCCGCCATCGGCTTTTCTAAAAAGGGCTTCCTTGTCAGATATGAGCCGCTCATTTAAAATAAATAATCTCACCAGAAGCTGCTGTGGGATGCGACGTTCTGCTTCCCTCCAATGGAACGTCACAGGGACATGTCGCCACCGGTTCTTCTGACAAATGTTTGGTTGTCAGCTATGAGCAGCTGTTTTAAAAGAAATGATCTCACCATGAACAGCTGCCAAGGGTGACGTTCCGCTGCTTTCCATTGGAACATTCCCTGGGCTTGGTGCCGCCATCGGCCCTTCTGAACGACATTTGCTTGTCAGGTATGAGCCCCTGTTTTAAAATAAATGATCTCACCACGAGCAGCTGTTGAAGGTGACATTCCACTGCCCTCCAAGGGAACATTACCGGGGCTTGGTGCCGCCAGCGGTTGTTCTGAAAAACGGTTGCTTGTCAGATATGAGCAGCAGTTTTAAAAGAAATGATCTCACTATGAGCAGCTGCCAAAGGTGACGTTCCACTACCCTCCAATGGAACATTCCCGGGGCTTGGTGCCACCATCGGTCCTTCTGAAAGATGTTTGCTTGTCAGGTATGAGCCCCTGTTTTAAAATAAATGATCTCACCATGAGCAGCTGTTGAAGGCGACGTTCTGCTGCCCTCCAATCGAACATCCCCGGGGCTTGGTTCCGCTATTGGCTTTTCTGAAAAGGGCTTCCTTGTCAGATATGAGCCGCCAATTAAAAATAAATAATCTCACCATAAGCTGCTGTGGGATGCGACATTCTGTTTCCCTCCAATGGAACGTCACAGGGGCATGTTGTTGCCACCGGTTCTTCTGAAAAATTTTGGCTTCTCAGATATGAATACCTGCTTATAAAGCTTCTGATGGAGAATTCCTGCTACAGGCGAATGATAGGTTAGTAGTGTTACCTTTCAAAGGAACAGAAAATATTCAGCACTCTGAAAGGGCATTGAAATCCCTTAGTGATGAAAATTAATGTTGAGCAATATTAATCAATGGCGAAACACAGGATCCGGCGGGTCTTGAAAAGGCACTTAGGAATCTCGGAATATCTTAAATTTTAACGGCCCGGTATGCTAATGTATGAGAACATAACAGCATGGGCAACTAAAGCTAACCTTGTAAACATGAGTGTCAGGAAGATGACTCAGACGGCATGAGTCCTCTTGTCGAATTGGATATGAACAGGGGAACGTTGACCTGCCTTATCTTTCATTTATATCACTATTGTATGCTACAAACCTAGGATGCCCTGTAAGAAGTCACACTGCACTGGCAGAACTGCCCTTCTTGATTGCAGGACACAAATTACTGTATTTCAATGCAGCTGACCTTGTGCTTTAAAACAATTTTCCAACAAACTGGGACGGATATTGGTTATGGGCAACAGTATGCGCAGGGACATTACAGGGATAATGTACAAAAATGCTAAATGAATTAGATAAAATATTTAAGCACAAACTAATAATAAAAACTAATTAAATCAGATTAAAACTTTTGAGACTGTCAAGCATCGTTGACAGCATGCTGGCAGCTGGCATCAGTGACGTAGAGTTGGTGCTGCCTAAAAGCAAAATATAACAGAACTCCGTACAGACTGCAAATAAAGATTATGTTACCTTGGGCTGTTACAGATGGCCTAAGCATTTGCGGCCGAACCGTAGGGATAGCCGTTTTGGTCAGCCTTGTCTTCCCAGGATCCAAAAAGTCCTTGGCTGTGAAATGCTCACTACACAGGCGATACCCCTCATAGAGCTCCTTGGCTGTCTTTCCTAGGAGCTCAGGACGTCTGGCGTACTGTAGCCATGCTTTTGACCTGCAGAACATTGTATATACCACCAAGGTTACACATACTGTAAGGGTCAAATAAACTCCAAATATATGAGCCTCAATTGTTTTTAATGTTTCACTGCCGTTTGGTATGGCACCTCTCAGCAAAGTGTTCACGTTCTGAAGAGTTTGTTTTTCTTCTTCATGCTACTGTACAGTGCAATACAGCTAAACAAACAGATTGCATACCCACCAGGGTATGCAATCAATTTAGGCCCGAGGCAAGATAACCTTAAAATGCTGAAAGATATTGGTGTCCATAAACCAAAGTGACATGGAAGAAATCGTTTTTGCTATAGTTTGTTGCAACCTAAGACCGAAGGGCGAGGGTAAGACGGGCCGGGGAGGAGGGAGCAGACGGAACGCTGGAGAAGAAAGGGGAAACCTCCTTCTCTCCTTAGCGTTTCGTGTTCCGTCTGCTTCCTCCTCCCCGGCCCGTCTTACCCTCGCCCTTCGTTCTTAGGTTGCAACGGACCATAGTTCTCATTTCAAAATGTTATGCTTCGATCAAATGTTGTAAGGACTGCCTTAGAATCTATACGTACCTTGGGTCACGTGGAATTCGAAAAAACTTGACATGTGGCTTCTTTGTTTTCACATTGTTGGCACACCAGACCACGCAGCAGTAACTTCCGTAGGACATAATCTGGGCCAGCGGGGGAGGGAGAGTTTAACATCTACTGAAGCCTAGCCAATGGCGCGTTCCTTTAGTTCAACGGAAGGTAGCACAATAGCGGCTGGTGAAAAAATAAACTGATGGAGATTTAAACAATGTCACAAGATATTGCCATGACGCAATGTTACAATAAACCCATGACACGTATTAACACAGACGGGTGAAAGAAATATTGTGAAGTTTGTGAAGTTTACGCAATCTTCATGCATCATAATCGAACGCAGTGTCTAGAGTGCCATGCCACAGCACTCCAACCAAGTGTTCAAGTTACGTCTGACTGGTTTTACCCAACGTTCGAATGTCATCCTTAAGAGTAAAACAGGAATTTAAGCATAGTACAGCGGTACGGCCAAAATAAGTAAGACTAATCTACCTCTACTGTTTCTGGTAAATTGGCCGTCAATATTTTGAATTTTGCTTTCTTACATAGAAAATAATGTCAGCGAACCATAGACCTAAATTTCGAGCTCCATTTGGTGATGTAGCGATGTAGTGGGAACCATGTTTGAATAGTCCTCCGTACTTTCTCAGAGTGTCCGAAAGTTCCATGGATGTCCTATCCTGGATGTCCCGTGGACGTCCATAGGATATATATGCTGCTTGGGAACTTTATTAAATATCTAAATTTGATACTGCGTCTCGCAGTTTTTTCCCCCGAAATTCTATGCATGTGTTTGTCGTCGTAACTGCAGCATACTGCAGCTCGTATGGCGGTACACACAAGTTATGTAGCTCGCTTGAGCGACGTTCGCTGGTTCGCTTCTTTTGCACGTACTTTATGTGATAAATCAAAGCAGCGACGCGCCATTGAAAGAATGCATGTCAAAATATCAATATGACTCAATGGACACCTTGCCCCGAATTCGTCACACTGCGAACGACTGTCGACCCAGCTTTAGTCAGTGAATTAACTTCAATCTATGACGGCATAAGTCCTCTCAACAGCAATCCACAGATGTCTGATGGCACTTGAACACGCATGAACAAAGCTCTGCCCGAGGGGCGTCGGACGGCAACCCAGACTCAGCAAATTCAAAAGCCAGCTTTACAACACAGTCGAGAGACAAATGAGCAAAACGACTTACCTTTTGTTTAAAAATCTAGGTCCAGGCAGCCCGACGGAAACACGAGAAGCTCAAGCCATATCAAGCCGCTCAGCTCTACAAACTCACGCCGAGCATGAGAGCACGCGGCGGTCATTCGTCACTTTGTTTCAAGCAAAGTCGACCGAACACGCTGTAGCATAAAACGGAGAAGAACGGCACGGACGGCACGGACGAACGAAGCACGGACCGCACGGACGAGCAGAGGTGACGGCGTGCAAGCAGACAGGCCATGGCAGGCGCCATTCATCACGTGGTTTTTGTGACGTATTTGATTAACACTATTTAGTCGTTTTAAGTACTTTAAAAAACTCTAAAGCATAAAAATTTAGAAAATAAATACTTTTCAGAGAGAAAGCTGTAATTAATATTAACCAAATTACGGAAAAGCGCCACGTAGCGGAGGGTATGAATCCTACTATCTGGGCCGCGAATCGGCTTCAGTGTCCTCTCTTTACGTTTACTATATTACTCTATGCTCCAACTGCATAGCCAGAGAACGTTGTCTGGGAGTATCAGAAGCTCGCTAGGGGCGCTTCTGCTTTCCTTACTGTAAAGCCCCTCTACCTTATTGTTTTTGTGGGTGGTGCAGGTGCTATACCCACGCGGTTATGTTTGCATTTTTATAGTGCGTAAAATCTTGCATTGCACGTGCTTCTACCAGCAGATGAAGTTGAAGTATCCTCACTCTGGGTTGTAAAAACTTCCACCAGGCGGCGATACCCAAACTTCTCTCTGCGAATAGAGCGCGTAGAGCAGCACTTTGTCACGAATCGGTTCAAGGCATCGTCTGCTTGTCTTAGATGGCCCACTAACAAACGCTCGCAGGCCGTGAGTTTGAGGACACGCTTTCTGTTTTCCATAGCGCGCTCAGAGTAGCCACAGGGTCTCGGAAATGAACCAGTCCTCAGACAAAGCGGCATCAGACTAATCTCTCTTTCCTAATTTCGCGTTGCTCTTTCGGCCCTTTCTCGCACACTAACAACGTTGCCCCTCGCGGAGCCGTACGTCCGCAGATGACGACAGCGGCATCAATGTGATGCCGCACCGACCCTGCAAAGGAAGACAATAGCGCAGCTGACGGAACGCCGTGACCGAGGAGATAGTCCTCCTCCAGCACCGTCCGAGTCAATGGAAAGGACGCGCGCGCTTTGTTACGAGAACGTTTTGTCCATTCGATTGTTCCTCGCGGGGAGACGGCGCATATTTGCCCGCACAATTGCCCGTTGTCTGAAATGTAGGAGGCCGACTCCGTGACGAGAGCCATGACGTCACAACGGCCCTCGAGAAAATCCGTTTTTCTTTTTTTAAGGCGACAGCTTTATGGATTTAGCGCTCTGTTTGTGAAAGAGACCGCGTTTTCCTCCACCACCTGTGCGCACCGCGCGAGCGCAAAAACCAGATTTGCAGAGGGGTGAACCGTCTGCGAACTCACCGGACCGGCAGCAGCCTCACCGCAGTGCGAACCTGCCGAGGTTCGAGAAGTTCGACAAGGTTCGACTTTTCGTGATTTCTAACGCGAAGTTCGACAAATGTGGTTCGACTTATGTGCGCATGCACGAAAACTGAAAAAACAAGTTGCCGCCTCCTGGCGTAGGAAAAGTGCAATATTTGTTGGGTATGTATTGCGTCATTTTTATACATTATGAACCTAATAAATGTATCAAAAGAGGGCCGGGCAATGGGTCGATGAACCGACCGATTAATCGATTAACGCTTTAAACCCGATTAATTTTTGTTAACCGGTTAGTCGGTAAAATATTGAGGACCGAAAGCAAGCAAAACTTAACCGCTTTCACCACGCAGACGTGGACGAGGACACCTGTCTGCAGGGGAGAAGTTATTTCAACCTAAAGTAAACTGTAGGCGCAAGACATGTAACTCTAGGCAAGTGCAGAAGGTTACAGGTATCCTGGCCACTTCGACGCCGTGCGAGTGTCCGTCTAACGCAGAAGAGACTATTGTGAACAATCAAAGGCGATCGCTCTCGTCGGCGAACATAAACGAACCTCTTTGTCTCATGCTGCGGAAGTTATAATCTTTGAGTGTGAGTTTCTTCGAACCTGTTCAATAACGCATCGAGATTGATTCATAATCAAAATTGTATAGTAACCTTTAAAAAAATATTTTGCAGGGAAATGAACGAGTTCAATTAATCTATTCATTCATCGATTAAAGGGTGGAGACTAATCGGGCGCTACTTTATGTATAATCTGTCTCCCAATATCCGGAATGTTTGCGTGGAAGTCGGGCAACACTGTCCATAAGTCGAACTCCGCTGAATTCTGCTCGGAGGTCGAAGGTTCGCCGAACGAGTCGAACCTCGACATCGAAAATCAATTTCGGCGAAAAGTTCGCAACACCCCTAATGGGAAGCCCGACGAGCCTCACTTACCAATGTTGGTAGCGTAGCAAAAGCTACGGCGATAGAGTGTCGTCAACGCAGAACAGCTGCTGCATCGACGTCAATAGCGCGCGCGTCACCAATGGCGCGCGCGGAGTTGAAGGAGGGGGTAAGCGGCGCTCCAACACTTTCTAAATAGCAGAATTTTCGGCGTCACCTAAGCAAGGTCAAGGCAGACTGGTCACGAGTGTTGCGCGGCACAGTTCGGCCGAGGACACGAGTTCAAGCCGAACGGTGGCGCAACAGTTGTGTCCAACGAAAGGGTTCCGTGTAGGGGAGTAGGAACAGCGTACTAGTGCTATCGCACCCCCTTCATCGCAATGCATAGACTGAGACGCTGTTTACAAGCAAGTGAGCGTTGACCCACACCGCAGAAACCAAAATACCGTGACATATGTTTTTCTTTACTGCAAAAAAAAAAAAAAAAAATCCGGTGCATGCATTGGCGGACGCTCCTTCTCTGCGCAAATGTAGAACTAGGGGTCCGAACCAGACCTGTACAAGTTACTGAAAAAAAGTAACCGATTACAATTACAATTATTTCACTGTAAAAAGTAACCAATTACAATTACAATTACAGCCTTCAAAAAGTAATCGAAAAATTACTCTAAAGTAATCGATTACTTCCCATGTTACTTTTCCTCCAACTTTTTTAGAGCCCAGCTCTTACGCGCCCGTTTCCGGCTTGAGTGGCGTCGCCGTCGCCGTTGGCGTAACCGCGCGGTGCGTTATAGGAAACGTCCCATAATGCACCGCGGCGACGCGCGCGTTGCATTATGGGACGTTTTTCATAATGCACCGCGCGGGAGGAAGGAGGAGGGGGAGGTGAGGAGGAGGAGAAAGATGGGGAGGAGGCAAGGAGCACGGGAGGAGCAGATGCGGAGGGAGGAGGAGAGAGTACGGATGAGGAGGAGGGGCATACCGTTTCCTCCGTACCTTCCCCTCTTCCTTCTCCTCAAGAGCTGCGCTCTAATTCGGCATTACAGGGAGTTGTAAACATCTTTAATTTTTTTTTATTACGTAGCATATTCCTTGGGGTCCCGCGCTCAGTTATTAAAAAAAAAAAAAAAGCCTTGACCGCATTTGTTTAGAGCTGAGTGAGTGACGCCAACACACCCAATCCCTCTCCTGAATAAATAAATAAATAAAAAGAGCACTGTTTAAATACATTACTCCCGAGAGGCTGGATAAGGTCATTTTTCCTGCCCAAACGTAGTCTCCGGTGCACCAAAATGAAAAAAAAAAATAAAAAATGTACCCAGGAAGTGAAGCATAGTGAAGTGGTCTACTAATCCTCGCGGTCGCTTAGTGGTTTCAAGAGAGAGAGAGAGAGAGAGAAAAGACCATTGCCCGGAGCTGAGTGACTCCAGCACATGTAACCGCTCCGCCCCCCCCCCCCCCCCCCCC